TAATTAAAATTATATAATATAAAGTAATTAAAAGTAAACTAAGAAATAAGGACAGTAGAAGATAAAGGATATACTAATACAAATTGTACTAAATGACACAATATAAATCAAGCCTAAAAACAGTATCCACATAGTGGGTGATTAATCATGAGGCGCTTGCAATGACTGAGGCTGGGACTGAGCTTGTGATTCTTTGTGCATAGTAAGGTGCTCTGTGTGAGTGAGTGTGATGGTGCAAATGAGTAAGTCCAACAGTGCAAGAATGATTTGTTTCATTTCTATAATGTACTCTTTGAAAATTTTTTGTTTTCTTCACTCTCAAGATGCATGCACAGCACCTCGGAGTAGAGGCCAGTCGACACCAGTGAGTATTTATCACACCACACTTTAAACAGTTACTTTTGTATTTTGTCAAGTCTTCTGAAATGTATGAATATTCTGTGTTTTTCAGGATCTTGACATGCGAGGGATGGCTATCGCTCCAGGTAAAGAAGTACGACAAGGCACAACGTCAGTAGTGGCTGACTTCTAGTGGTTGGACCACCAGTAGGGTTAGTCTGTTTAGTTTTATAGGCTGTTTTGTAATATGCTATGTTTGCAATATATGTATTATGTCAATGTTTCAATACTTCCCATAAATTGACTGTATTGAAGTGTAGGTAATGTAAATGCATACGGTAGCCAACACTATAGTACTCAAACCATATACCCTGGGGGAAGGGGCGGGGGTCACTCCGTGCTACACATATTTTCCTGCTTTTTTACCTTTGCCAATCACATCCCTGATGTTACTAGGTCTAACAGTAGGTCCAGCGGTGGATCCAGCCTCAGATCCTGGCACGGTGATAGTTCAAGGCACACCGCCAGGTCCAGCCATGATGGGTCACGGCACAGTGATGGTGCGAGGCACACAGTCTTCATATCACTACCATATGTCTTTGTATAACCAAATGTGACATAAATCAATCTTGTATCTTGTACAGTCAGGTCCAGACATGACGGGTCACGAAACAGGTCCAGACATGATGACCGATCCCATGGTGATGCCCACAGTCTCCCGGCCAGGTCCAGACATGACAGAGCACAGCATGGTGATCTCAACAGCCTCCACTATGACAGGCATGGTGAGTTGCCGGCTGCATTCATAACCACGCTCAATTAGGATTATTTGCTATTCAGGTGGTGATCCTATCACCCAGGCTGCCTGTTCACATTACACAGTGCACACATGGTTTTTAACAAGAAATCATGTAATTTAGAATTCATTGGATGATTTTAAAAACTGATTTTTTTTGTAGATGCAGTGACTGAGACTGGGAGATGGGCCTTCCCATTGCCTTGGGATGGTAAGTATTGATCTATTGGCAGTGGAGAAAACCCTTTTAATTGTACCACCTTCACTGTTCCCTGTCCACAGAAACTGCTTTTCAGTTATAGCCGTAGCTTGGTTTCCATCATGTTAGATGATATTTCTTTGGACTTTTGTTTCTTTCTTTAACACTGAAGCTGATTACAAAACAATTGTAAGCAAGCTAACCTTTGTATTGTAATTGGAACATGGTTATAATCAATAAATGTGTTTATTTAACCTATCGTCGTTATCACTCCCTGCATGGAGGGGAGGGGGGCATCTCCGTGGTAATTCATGCTGGATGAGAAGTAGTTTGTATGGCACATTTAGAGGGAAGGTTTTCATTAGTTTTAAAGAGCGCGATTAATTTTTTTTCTTTTCTTTTAGCATGCTCACAAAATATCTATGTGTGAAAAAAAACGATGTTTAGGGTTGAAGATTATCCGCTCGGTCTCATTGTGTATAACGTAGAAGAGCCGTATTTGGCCTGAAGTTCAGTGTTTTATGTGAAGCACATGTGTCCTTCATAGGTCATGGATGGGGCGTTGACATCAGGGTGAAATTTGTGTCAAAACACCGTTGCAAGTTTAAGAGTACACAGAGAGAACCCACGCAGACACGGGAAGAACATGCAGACTCCACACAGAAAGGCCACTGTGGGGAGTCGAATCCATCTTGCTGTGAGGAGACAGTGAGTGTGTTTACATGATGGTATAATTCAAATCTTTGCTTAGTCGGACTATGCTATCTTTCGGGGGAAGGTGCTATTATCCCAATATACATGTCGTATACCGTTACATGCCGCAATAGTCAAACTATCAACTGGATCGGATCGAGTTATCCAGGGGTGTTAGTCGGATCGTAGTCGGACCGCACATAGTTGGACAAAGGTGTTTACATGAAACGGATAATTCGATCAGTCCGGCTAAGCCAGTTTTTCAAATCCATGTAACCACGCTGAGTGGTAACCACCACACCACTGTGCCGCCCTAACTTTTGTGTGTGATGAAAGATATGTAACCCTCATGGACTCCTTTGGTCCTGGTACCTGAGCAGTAGCATAGACAGTAGTGGTCTGTGGACTGTAAATGCTCAACTCATTTATTATTAAAACCACTTTATTGCAACAACAAATTCTGAAGTTGTTTGTCCTAGCCTAAGGTTTATAGTGTGTAGCATTAAAACATATTATTTGATTACATTTGTTTGGTAACAAAATATAGCAGGAGACAAGTGAAGTAACGTAATTGTATATTAAGGTGGACCATGCACAGATGGTGTGGCACAATGAAAAGAAGAAACACAGTTCTTGCAGTTGCAACCGGCAGGGATTGTTTATTCTTACGTGCACAAGTTCAATAAAAAAGTTGATATTTGAAGTTCTGTTTGTCTTGTAAAATAATTCATATTTGCAGGGTTCAAAGCTCCTCCAAATAGGGAGGCTTTTATGAGGTCTGCGTTCTGCGTTACTTGAGGAATTTGGGGACCGCGAGCCCCTCCCCCGGACTGCAATAACAAAGGGAGGTCATTGATCAGCCTCGTAAGGCAGTTACACTGATGTACTGACACTGATGATCAATGCAAAGCACAAAAGGAACGACACCAAAAAGCACAATGAATAAGATGTCAAAATTTCCATTAAACAAACAGTAAGAAACATAGAAGTATGTTCGGTGGAAATCAGTGGGTAATGGATGTGTTTGGTGAATGATCCGACCTGGGACAAAGTGAGGGCATGAAATGTACACTTTCATTATGAATGCAGTAAACAGATGTGTAAGTGTCGTAACTCACTTGTGTATGTGAGGCGTAAGTGTCTATACAGAAAAACAGCTTTACATATAAAACGGAAACATTCTTTTCATCTTTTTGGTGCACGACTCTTGGTGCATAAAGCAAGCATTATGTTTTTGTAAGCATTTTTGTTTTACACAGTTTCCAGCTATACAACAGAACCCTCGGAGAGCCCCATTGGAGCACAGGGATGTCCATCCCTCTAGGCTCTCGGATCATCACACCTCCCGTTGTTCATGAGTTCTACATATCAGGATGTTGCAAGATGTGTGCAAGATAATAATAATAACTAGAAAATGCATTTCCTGCTGAAAATGCGTTGGAATGCAAAAAGCTGAAAGCTGAAATGAATATTTAAAAATAGCTGAAAATACAGAAAGTTGAAGGGAATTTGAATACATCTGTTGAAATTACAGATATTAGAAAAGCTGAAATTAATTTGAAATTGCTGAAAATACAGAAGTGGGAGAAGCTGAAAGGAATTTCAATAGATTTGCTGAAAAAGCAGAAATGAAAACAGCTGAAATAAATGTGAAATCTTGCAAAAAAAAATACAGAAATGAATATCAAAACATTGCTGTTAATAGAGACATAGGAAAAGCAGAATTATTTTTAAAAAGCTGCTGAAAATACAGGAAGTGGGGAAGCTGAATTTCAATAGATTTTCTAAAAAAAACAGAAGTTGCAGGAGCTTAATTGAATGTTAAATAGTACAGAAATAACAAAAGCTGAGATGAATAAAAAGAGGTTGAAAATTGTTTGTAGTAATATTAGTAGTAGTATTTGTTATAGTTGTAATTGTGGTATTAGTAGTACTAGCAGTAGAAGTCGGTTTAGTATCAATAGCAGTAGAACCAGCTGTAATACTAATAGTATTAGCCATAGTAGTATTTGTAATAACATTATTAGTACTTGTAGTATTAATAGCAGTAGAAATACTAGTAGTATGGTAGTAGAAGTATCAGTTGTAGTACTAGAAGTACTAGTAATATTCATAGTGGTTGTAGTAGTATTTGAAAGAGCAATACGTATTCAACGAAACCGCTTCATTCTGAGCTTCATGGTTAAGGTACAGATAATCATTGAGGCTTTTATTTTGTAATGATGGAATTGGGAGGGGGGGTTGGGAGACTGAATGTTTGTTATTCAAACTAAGTTTTTTATTAATAGGCCTCATCACAAACATTACAGTAAAAATTCCCTCCATGGGGCTTTTATTTTGATATTATTGGATTGGGTGGGGTGGGGGGTGTAGATAGAGAGAGGGAGGGTGAGGAAGGGAGGGGTGGTGAGGAAGAGATGGAGAGAGCGAGGAGGAGAAATAGACAGACAGACTGACTGAGTGACTGATTAACAGTGAGAAGAGGTCATGGTGGAGGGGGAGGGGGCGAGCGTCTTTATCATATTGGTCTGTTGACAGAAAGCATAGCTGCGTCATGTGACTCCACTAATGAGGTAATAGGAGCAGCTGTGAGTCACAGACAGAGATGCATTTTTTTCATAAAATAGTTGACACTAGAAGAATCTGAAAGCTGAAGATCTGAAAGTTGAAGAAGTTTAAGAGGATTTGAAAAACGGTATCCATTGGAAAACCATGTTAAAATATTAATGATTATTGATTCATATAAATTCAAGCTTAAGAGCTAGAAAGCTGAAAAGTCATAGCAAATGTCAACGAAACGAAATGTCATACATTATCAAACCTTCTCTTAAATCTCATTAAACAGTCTTATAATGAATTTCAGATGGTATTTAAAAAGGAAACGACCAATAGCTACATGAAAATTCCACTTTTCCACAGGTTCATAGTGCACATCCCCAAGGTGTCACAGGGCATTCTGATTCACCCTTCCAAAATGAAAGCCTCTCAAATTACCATACATGAGCCAGTTTCCTTCAAATTCTCCATCACGAAACTACTTTTGGTCGATTTCCGGTTAGGATTAAAAGGAAGCTATCAATAGTTACATGATCATTTCACTTTAGACTGTAGTGCTGATATGTAGAGGCTAAGCCTACGCTTTAAGCCACTGAGGCATTTCGTCCCCTATTGGCCCTAATTGACGCGCCGCTGTTCGTCCCGGATGAATGACAGTCCTTTAGCCGTGTTGTTTCGTCCCTTTATTTCTTTCTTATTATACCGTTTACAACCATCCACCCAGCGTGCGTAACATAGCACTACCCAGCATGTGCGGTCAAAAACTGTTTGGCTATACTGGTTGGAAACACCTGACGAGCCCCCCAGGTTCCTCCCCTATATAGGCTAAACCCACCCATGAATCAGCTCCTCACATACATCAATTGGCTCTTACAGTATACATCCTGAAGGTGTCACCCAGGGATATGCAGGACATTCTGATGTACATCCTAAACCAAAATTAAGCCTCTGAAAATTCCATACATGAGCCAAAATATCAATTACAAGACTACATCTGGTCATTTTCAGATAACATTTAAAAGGAAAAAATCAATAGTTACACAGTATTTCCACTTCAGGCAGAGAGTACACATCCCCAAGGTGTCACTCTGTGATAACCAGGATATTCTGAAGTACCATTTTAGAAATTAACGCCTCTCGAAATGCCACCTTCGTTTTTACTGGATAATAGAAAAATTGACTTACTGTTATCAGTAGGTGGCGCTATCACTTGATTAAACTGCACATCTCTTTAGGCCCAGAATCTCATCAAACATGTGAAAATTGGAAAGAATCTGATGATGTGGAGTAGAGTTACAACAGTTTAGTTGTTCTTGGCGAAGGATCAACTTTGCCGATGCACCATCTCGCCACCGATTATTGGATTCTTATAATATTCACAGTGAAGCCTTATTGAGGTCTTAACTCTCTGTTAAGAAATTTTGAGAGGGATCAGATTAACCTTTGAGGAGCATAACCTGTGAGGAGCAGGGTTTAAATAAAAAAAAACATTCAACTTCCTGTTGTCACCAGGTGGCGCTATGACTAAGGTTAAAAATGATCTTATGGATGTCTACAGGGTGAGAAGTTCATGCTATATGGGGTCGTCGTGGCGCAGGGGGTAGAGCGGGTGTGCTGGGAAGACACCTAACCCCTAATTGCTCCCTGGGCCAAATCCCAAAAAAAAGCCATGGGTTTTAAGTGTAATGTAAGTCGCTTTGGATAAAGCGTCTGCTAAATGACCTGTAATGTAATGTAATGTAATATGAGAAATATGGAGCAGATTAGACAAAGTATGGTCGAGTTAAAACAACTTCAATTTTCATGCTGAATAGTAGTTTTTCAAAAATGCTCCCTACACACATAGTTTGTCAATTTACTGAAATGAACAAACCAAAAAGCATTTCATACCTAAACAACGTTATAAGGAATACA